AGAATTGGCAATTTCAAAGAAGCGCCTCAATCACATTCCTTAAGTCATATACGCTACTAATTAATTCAACACACACAAGGGAAGTTCTAGATATCAAGTTAAGCAAAAACAAATCAATTCTCACCACACATGGCATTATGACACACATAAGGATATATCAACCAACATGCTTCTAGAACTTGTATTACGGTATCATTACACAATTAAGCTCATTTATTTCTACTTTGAGTCAAAACTAAGAACTATGCTTGTTACAAGTTTAACACTCTATTTCACTTTTCCACTTGTGACTACCCATGACGTTTGGCTGACTTTTTCGGACATAGTTTCCAAAGGCCAAGGTTGGTTTCTCAATCCTACTCTTCTATGTGACTAATTGTCAACTTAGAATTATTAAGTTGTTTTAATTACTTCTTATTTTTTAGATTTCGGATCCTACTAAAGTGAGCTTACCTAAATTCCACTTTTAAGGTTTATTTGGCTAAAAAGGAAGTGTTAAAAGTAGATAACTAATTTAACCCAAAAGGAATCATTGATTTGCTTATATCAACTTACAAAAAGTTGGATATATCTCATTAAAATGATGATTTTGGTGCAAGAAATTATCATTTTACCCTATAATGTTCAAAAACTCAAGACAGGGCAAACTTAGAATTTTTGAAAAAAGTAAACCTAATTCTTTTTTTTTTTACGTACGAGAAGTGATAAGTTATAAGAAATATAATATATGAATTAATGAATCATTTAAACTTCGATCGAATTATACAAATCTTAGTCTCGTGATGAATGGAGCTTGATTAAGCTATGGGAAAAAAATTTGAAATCATTTAATATATATGGAACTTAAATGTCAAATAAATCGTGAATGAAGTTTGAAATTACATAAGGAACACGCAAAATTAAATTTATGATTAGTCAATAATCAACTCAAGCTTAAACGGGTTGAACATGTCATGCTATCATAGACTGATTTTATCACCTCTAATCACATGAATCTAAGGTTTGAGCCGTGTGTCTTTGGACCTGAACCCTTTGCTCGGAGTAGTGAAAAGTTTACAAATTACACATGTCGTCCTTCTCTCACAATTCACAATATTTATTGAAAATAATAAATAGAATTATTCAATAACCATGGTATGAACATAGCTGGACCATGCACTTGTTCAGAACTGTAGGGTCCTTACTCGTTTGATAGTAGATTTGGAGGTAAGTTATGCATATATTAAATTTTGTATAAGTTATATCATGTTAGATAATTGATTCAAGATAAATTATTTATGTATAAAATTAATATGATTTTTCCCACGTAGCTAATATTATATAAGTTAGGAGAGAATCAATTATATAAGAAAAAGTAACACAAGATATAATCTCAAATGCAAGATCCATTTTCTATTAAATCACAATTGATCAAGTCAATGTTACCTGTTTTAAAAATTATTTTTATTATTATTATTATTATTATTATTTATTTCAATACTTAATAGTGATTGGAAATTCTCTTATACAAAGTAACAAAACAACCATTTCATCCCTTTTCATTAACTTCAATAGACAAGCCCAGAAGTCTGAATTTTAGTATTTTCAAATTACTGAATTATAAATAAATAATATTTATATATTAAATTGAGACAAATACAAGATTTTGCCAAAATTATTATTGAGTTCGATCGAATTCATATATAATCTATACTCTAGCTCCGACCCTACTTGATGAAGCTTAATTCTATTAATAATTCAACACACACACACACATATATATATATATATATATATATATACCTTCTTTATTTCATAAAATCAATTGCAGATGAATACAACAACATTGAACAAGGCAACTCACCATGGCTCTATCCTCTTTTGTCGCACTCTATTTTTATTCAATATAATATATAGTTTTTAGTACTATAGTTTTAATTTTAATTTGTAGCCTTCAAGGGCAGAAGACAACCTTGTAATTTGTACCAGCAGGACATGTAAACAAACTTGTTGGATCATCTTGTGGATAACTATAAGCATCTGGGCATCTTTGTTTGAAAAATCTCGAAAAATCAGTTGGACCACATGACCCTTGCCCATTTGTACAACAAAATTCATTCGTCTTGAAAACCGTGCACGGGTTGTTACACCCACCCGGTGTCCGTAATTCGTTTGGACATTGGTCGTTAATAGGTGCGTTGCATAAGAGATTACGACACCCACCGTTGATTGGGCTGAATTCCATAGGAATGTTGAATCCATCGACTAGAGAAATATCGACAAAATCCAAGTTATTGGGCTGATTTAGAGCAAATTCGGCTAAAGTGTTGGGTGGACTACCATAACCTTGACATTCTAACATCCCATTACAATCTCCCGTCTCGCATTTGCCTCGGCCACTACCATCAAAGTTACAATTGGTTCGTCCCCAAATGCGAGCCTGGATTGTTCCTGGGTTCACATTAAGGTTCCAAGTTTGGCCCGAGTCGAGTCTTCTGCCTCCCCCAGGAGAGGCAGCGGCCCAGACCGGGTAGGTGCACCGATTGGTAATGTCAAAAGTGGCAGCATGAGCGGCATATAAATAGTATTGACCAAAATAAAGGAAGACAAAAAGGGGGGAAAACTTGAGGAAATGCATTTTTTTTTTGTGTGTTAAACTTGAGAATGTGTTTATTTTGAGACACAATCTACGGGTTTAAATAGCTAATTTAATGGCCTAGTATGATGAACTTTCATAGATTCTAACTTCTAAGAAACTTTGAAATTTCAAACAACACAATTTTCTTGTGGAAATTCGTGTAATAGTCCTTGATTTATTGAAATTTTAATGTTGGTCCTTGTGTTATCTAGATAGGCTTAGATAGAAATTTCTTTTAGGTGGAAAATAGAATTTATCATGAAGACATAGACTCACTATGTGAAAGAGGTAAGAGAGTGTCATTTGCAATTGTAGGCACGTCTCTCCACCTGATATAAGACAGTCGAAGTATCCGACATTCTGCAGATCTCAATATTTGACTGACTTAGCTAGCTTCAATCGAGTTTTCAGAAGTTAATTAAAATGTGCAATGTTGTACCATGTGCTAGTGAATCTTCATAATTTTGACAAATTATTGATTATTAAACTATTTTATTATTCATGTATTATGCTAACTTTGTATTGTTGTTCCGATCCGCAAGTAAAGATACTATAGGTCTAATAATAATAATCTAAATATAACATACTTTCTACGTAATGGACTGAAAATACAATTTCTAATTAATTTAAAATTAAATATAATAAGGATCAGAATTAGAATTTACCAATAACTGAGGTATAAAATTCTGATTATCCCTAGTTTTGTCCTTGTTATTGTGATTGCAAAGTACATCTCTTGTTTATTTCGTATCATACACACGGTTTGCGTGAATAACTTTTATTTGTACTTCTTTTGAAACATCTGTTTGTTTGCATGACTAACTTTTATTTGTGCTTCTATTGAATCATCTTGCTTCTTGAGGTGTTGAATTAGTTATGTATTATATTAAATTTGTATTGTTACTGTAATCTGAAGTAATATAAGTTTTAGTATTAATATAAACCTTATGTATATCTATAATATATATAAAAGCAAAAATACAATTTTTATTGTGATTGCAAAGTCCATCTCTATCGTGCATTTCGTGCCAAATAGGCAATTGTTTTGCGTTGCTAATTTTTATTAGGCCTCCTAATTTCATTGACTTGGAAATTCTTCACTAAGCAAATAATAAGAAATTTGAGTACTAAAATGTAAGAATTAGGGGGAAAATAGGAACATCTTCATATTTTTAGGGCCCATTTAGTCAGGTGAAATGAAATCATATAAGATAAAATTGATGTTTTATTTGGACATACAATATAGATTTTTAAGTTATATTTTTTATATAAATTTTAAGAATCACATAGTTTTAATATGAAATTACAATCTATTCCTATTTAGTTTGTAATTACATTAATTTCTGAAAAAGTAAAACAAATCGGATACATAATATGTAGCTCGGATACATTACTAGCTCGTATACATTATAAAATAAACGGATACATAATATGTAGCTCGGATACATTATAAAATAATTTAGAATTAGGAGAGAAATAAGGGATTTTAGAGTTTTTTTAGAAATAGCAGGGAATATTAGAAATAAGGAAAACATAGGAGGTGTATTTCAATAATTTTTCCTATTTTGTATGGTTATAAACGTAAAAAACTCATAAATTGTGAAAACTATTGAAATTATCCAAATTATTTATACAATCTTACCAAATAAGCAAAATTTCATTAAAAAAATATATGATACACTATCACAAAGCTATTCTAAAAAAAAAATACAACATTTATTGATGGAAATTTAGTCCAATAAAAAGATAAAACCGAACATGAGTTGTATTGTACTATTCTTTACTTTGAGCCATTTGTTAGTCAATATGATTAGTAAATATATCATATGTTCATAGTCCGCAAATATTTCGTCGTGCATTTGCTATTCTCGCAAAAAAAAAATTACATAGATATAAAATGGTGAGTATTTTTTATAAAAACATAAACTTGTGGGCAATTTCTATAGTTAAATAGCGATAATGATGTAAACCAAACTTACTAGAAATTTCAAACGTATTAAAAGAAGCAACAATTAAAGAAAAAAATATGTCATAGAAATTTCAAACGTCTTAAAGATGCAACAATTAAAGAAGAAAATATGTTTCAACCATTTAATTTAGGCATAATACATAAATATGTTCTTAACTTGACCTCTTTTATATTTACACCCTTCAATTTTGGGTGTGCACAATCAGACACTTTAATTTGTATAAAGTTGAACAAATAGACACATGAGTCTTATGTGACATGATACACATAACACACCACGTAGGATGAAAATTGCCTTGTAGGATGTCACATAGGACGTGTGTGCACTTTAAGTGTGTACCTGCACACACCCAAAGTTGGAGGACATAAATATGAGTTGAAGTTGAGTTAAAGAACATATTTATGTATTATGCGTTACGGACAAAAGACAACTCTATAGGTAGTTCCACTAGGACAAGTAAAGAGACTGCTTAAATCATCTGTAGGATAACTAAAAGAAGTTGAACATCTATCCTTAAAGAACCTCGAATAGTTGATCGGACCACAATTTCCAGACGTGCAACAATATTCGTCCGTCTTGAAAACCGTACAAGGATTGTTGCATCCTCCAGGTGTCCTTAATTCATTTGGACATTGTCCTATTATGTCCGCGGTGCATCTGATCCTGGCAGAGCACTCATCCGCGGACACATGACTAAATTCCATTGGGACGTTGAAACCCTCAACAAGAGATATGTCGAAGAAATCATTATTGTTGTATTGGCTTAAAGCGTATTCAGCCAAAGTGTTTGGGGGTGTACTACTAAAAGTTTGACATTCGAGTAGTCCATTGCAATCCCCCGTTTGACATTGATTGTGCCCTAATGAGTCAAAATTACAATTGGTTCGACCCCAAATACGACCCTTTTTAGTTGAGCTCGTGGTCATGTCTGGCTCGATTTTCCATGTATCACCATACTCGAGTCGTCGTCCCCCACCGGGGACGGCTGCTGCCCATACCGTGAAGGGACAATTATTTTGTATGTCGATTATTGCGTTTGCTTGTATTGAGATATGATCAGAATTTATAATATAGAGGGATATGAAGAAGGATTTGATGAAGCTCATATTTGCTTTAAGAATAAATGTGATGATAATAACAATGGATTTGTAATTAAGGCTAGCTAAGGGCAATTAGTCAATAGATCAGTTAAATTATTGGTGACACAAGAAAGAGAGAGGGGGTGACTTTAATTTTGACTTTATTACAATGAAATTATAAATATCTAATGATGCGTAATATATAGAAAATATTCTATATGTTCACATTACTTGTTTATTATTTGAAATATGGATTTTCTCTGTTAACATATCAAGAATACTCTCATTATATTCGTCACTGGATATTACTTCGTAGGGCATCCGCTAGAAAAATATACTAGTCACCGAATTGTTTGTCCGAAAAATTGTAAGTGAGTGAACGAGGTAAAAATTTGTAGAAATAAGGGGTAAAAGCAAGTGAATTAGATTCGATGAAACCTTTTTTTTGGCTAAGTCAAAAAAACAAGAACAAATGGGTCGAATATTTAGACCTGTTTTTACCCAATAACACCCCATACTTTCATTTTCAATAGGCATAATACATAAACATGACCCTTAACTTGGCATCAGTTGACAACTATGACCTTTAACTTTGGGTGTGCACAAGTAGACACTTAAACTTGTATAAAATTAAACAAATAGACACATTCGTCCTACTTGGCACCCTACAAGGAAATTTTGTGTCTTACGTGGCGTCCAACGTGTATTATGTCATGTATGTCTACTTATTCAATTTTACACAAGTTTAAGTGTCTACTTGTGCACACCCAAAGTTAAAGATCATAGTTATCCGTTAAAGCCAAGTTAAGGGTCATGTTTATGTATTATGCCTTTTCAGTAATACTAAAGTTCTCATTGAATTTTATAGCTTAATATATAGGGATAATGATGTAAACCAAATTTACGTTAAAATTTCAAATGTACTAAGAAACAACAACTAAAGAAATGGAAAGAGTCATAGTTGTCCATATACTTAATTACAGAAAAATGTTATATTTGTCTTTCGTTGTACTTTTTTTGATATATTTTTTCCTAACATCCAACTTTAGACACATATTTACTTTTGAGATTGTTAAGTCTCATTTTCCCACTTTTATCATCCTACGTGGTGACGCCTATGTGGCACACCTACATGGATTTATATATATTCATTCCACTTAAAATTCCTTCTAAATTATATAATATAATGTCTTGAAAAATGTAATAGAGAAATAACTATAATTAATGATAAAGGTAAATTAAGAACTTAGTGTAAAATTATTCATTGATTTCATATCGTGGACAAGTATTATTGGGACATCCCAAAATAGTATAGTACACAACTATTGTTGGATAGAAGGAGCATAAGTTTACCATTATACTATTATTTAGTGTTCTCTTGAGGTCAAATTTTAATAAATGAACATAAATTAATTTATTTTGATTAATTAAATGGGCCAATGAACATGAATAATTTATAATCATTTAGTTTTCCTATATTAGTCAAATTTATATTTTCAAGTTTAATAACTCACAAGGTAAAATATGAAAAATAATATTATTTCTATATTGATTTTGTGAAATGACAAATATTAAAGAACATTTATTTTTAGTAAAGACATATAAATAGAAACGGAGAGAGTAGAGTTTTCTCATTAGTCAATAAATGGTGTGAAAAGGACACAAGAAAGAGAGAGGGAGACTTTTGACTTTATGTACCATGAAATTATAAATATCTAAAGATGCGTAAAACGTCAAGGAGATGTAAATGAAAAGTATGAAACAACTTACCAAGTCATAAACAAAGATTTTTCCATTGGATAATGAAAATGAGTTAATTAGTTGAAAATTTGGATCAATCTATCCATTTGATATTTTTACTGTTTAAAAGTCATTCTTTTTGTAAGGTGCATTCATAAAAAATAAAAAGGTATCATAGAGATTAGAAGTTAGTCAATACACCGCACGATAATTGCTAATCTATTACCAAACCAACTGACATTTTATAGGTTGGCTAGCGGATTAGTAAATTTAAAAATCAATATCCAATAGACCAAATCATTAAATAAAATTATCCGTCCGATCGGTCCAATAAGCCACCCTACTAAAATGTAAGAATTAGGGCAAGAAAAATTGGAAGATCTTGACTGATCCTACTGTATAGCTTGGTTTTTACCCAATACAAGAATAACACCCCATATTCTTTCATTTTCAATAATACTGAAGTTCTCATTGAATTTTCGATAATGATGTAAGCCAAACTTACATGGTGGAAATTTCAAACGTTCTGAGAAACAACAATTAAAGAAAGGGAAAAGGGTCTGAAAAATACTCCAACAATTAAAGATGAGGAAAGGGAAAAGGGTCTGAAAAATACTCCAACAATTAAAGATGAGGAAATCTGGAATGCACTAACTCCATTGGAGATGATAAAGCACCGGGAGTAGATGGATATAATGCTTATTTCTACAAGATGACCTGGAATATCATCAAAGATGACATGATGTTAGCTATCAAAGAGTTTTTTCAATCTGGAAAACTCTACAGACCAGTTAATTGCACTGTGATCATATTGGTCCCAAACAATTCTAGTCCTGTGAATATAAAAGAGTATAGACCCACAGCTTGTTGCACCATCATTTACAAAATCATTGCTAAAGTCCCAACTTCTAGGATGTAGAAAGTTATGGCACATATTATTAGTGAAGCTCAATCAGGATTCATTCTAGGGAGAAAGATTGTTGATAACATTATCCTTGTAACTGAGCTGGTTAAAGCATACTCTAGGAAACACATTTCTCCAAGATGTATGCTAAAAATTGATCTACAAAAGACTTATGATTCTGTGGAGTGGTCCTTTTTAGAACAGGTACTGGAGAACCTATGTTTTCCTCATAAATTCATTAAATGGATCCTAGAATGTGTGCATACTGTGAATTATACAATCATGGTAAATGGAGAGACCACACCCCCCTTTAATGCTACAAGAGGGCATAAACAATGAGACCTCATCTCTCCATGCTTATTTGCTATATCTATGGAATACCTTAGTAGATGCTTTGCTGAAGCTAGAGAATTTGAGGGGGTTCAAGTTTCATCCTAAGTGTGACAGATTGAATATAACTCATTTATGTTTTGCAGATGACCTGTTACTTTTTAGTAGAGAGGATAAAAAATCTGTAAAGATAATATACCAGTGTTTCCAAAAGTTTTCTCAAGCATCAGGACTGCAGGCAAACATGTATAAAAGCTCCATATATTTTGGTGGTGTCCCTGAGCAGGTAAAACTAAACATACTCCAACAGAGTGGACTTGGATGTGGTGAATTTCCTTTCAAGTATCTTGGTGTTCCTCTACCCACCAAAAAACTGACTATTATGCAGTGGTTACCACTAGTGAATAAAATTATTGCTAGAATCTCCTCCTGGACTGCTAAGAAACTCTCATATGCAAGAAGAATGCAATTGGTTCAATTTGTACTATTTGGTATTCAAGCCTACTGGTCTCAGCTCTTCATCATTCCTGCAAAAGTGGCATAAGCTTATTGAATCATATTGTAGAAGTTTCACTACTATTAACAAGAGAGCATTGATAGCATGGGAAAAAGTATGCCTACCTAAATCAGTTGGAGGCATGAACCTCATTAACATCAGATTGTGGAACCAAGCTGCTATTGCCAAAACCTGTTGGGACCTTACTAACAAATCTGACAAGTTGTGGATTAGATGGATCCATTATTTTTATATAAATACTCAACAATTCCTCACTGCACCTATTCCAAAGCAGGCTTCATGGATGGTCAAGAAGATACTTAATGCTAGACTGACTTTAAAGCAAAATGATCAGGTAACCATTGGCAGCCTTTACCTGAGTCTACTTGGCAACAGACCTAGAGTGCCCTGGAGATGTCTGATATTTGCCAACTCTGCAAGACCAAAGGCCATTGTTACTATGTGTCTCCAATTACAAAACTAACTACCAACTAGTGATATGTTGGCTTCATGGGATAGATATAAATCAACAATGCAAGTTGTGTCAAAATGGACTTGAAACTAGAGATCACATGTTTGTCTGTTGTGAGTTTACAAGAGCTATTTGGAGGAAGTTGATGGCATGGATCAAATAGCCAGACTATACTTTAGATGCTTGGGATACACACTTGAAATGGATCATAGAGAAAGCCAGAGGCAACAATTTGACTGCCCAAATTTTCAAACTAATGTATGCAGAATGTAGTCATGCAGTGTGGATAGAAAGGAACCACAGAATTTTTGAAGACAAACGTAGAAATCTTGAACACGTTGCAAAAGAGGTAGCTTATATGTGTTGTATGAGTGCTCCTAAGGCCAATAGTTCTAGGTTGCAACAACTTAGCTTTATGTGAAGTTGTATCTCCTTTGAGTTTTGTTTTTTCTGATTAACAAACTGTGATGTAGTTTGTTATGTTCTGTAAATACCAGTTGGTGATTAATAAATATACAGTTAATTACCAAAATAAAAAAAATGTTGTTACGATACCAAACTTTATCGAAGACTTTTTATCCCTACACTATTTAATAGTGTATTTTAAAGGTATATATGTGCCTACGTGGACACATTACTATTTATAATGATGCAATATTTATGATATTCACGTGGACACATATATACCTTTAAAATAAATTATTAGATAGTGCAGGAGGTAAAATGTCCTTTTCAAAATTCGATATTCTTATAGTAATTTCGATCAAAATTCGAATATATTTCAGATCTTTTTCCCTTGAAGAAAATATGTTTGACCCATTTAATTTAAGGACAAAATACCACTCTATAGCTAGTTCCACTATAGAGTGGTATTACTTCGTAGGACATCCGCTAGAAAAATATACTAGTCACCGAAAAATTGTAAGTGTGTGAACGAGGTAAAAATTTGTAGAAATAAGGGGTAAAAGCAAGTGAATTAGATTTGATGAAACTTTTTTTTTGGCTAAGTCAAAAAAACAAGAACAAATGGGTCGAATATTTAGACCGATTTTTACCCAATAACACCCCATACTTTCATTTTCAGTAATACTAAAGTTCTCATTGAATTTTATAGCTTAATATATAGGGATAATGATGTAAACCAAATTTACGTTGAAATTTCAAACGTACTAAGAAACAACAACTAAAGAAACGGAAAGAGTCATATTTGTCCATATACTTACAGAAAAATGTTATATTTGTCTTTCGTTATACTTTTTTTGATATATTTTTTCCTAACATCCAACTTTAAACAGATATTTACTTTTGAGATTGTTAAGTCTCATTTCCCCACTTGTATCATCCTACGTGGTGATGCCTATGTGGCACACCTACATGGATTTATATATATTCATTCCACTTAAAATTCCTCCTAATTTATATAAATACAATGTCTTGAAACATGTAATAGAGAAATAACTATAATTAATGATAAGGGTAAATTAGGAACTTAGTATAAATTATTCATTGATTTCATATCGTGGACAAGTATTATTGGAACATCCTAAAATAGTATTGTTGGATGGAGGGAGCATAATTTTACCATTATACTCTTATTTAGAGTTCAATGAAGTCAAGTTTTAATAAATGAACATAAATTAGTTTATTTTGATTAATTAAATGGCCCAATGAACATGAATAATCATTTAGTTTTCCTATATTAGTTAAATTTATATTTTCAAGTCTAATAACTCTCAAAGGTAAAATAGGAAAAATAATATTATTTATATATTGATTTTGTGAAATAACAAATATTAAAGAACATTTATTTTAAGTAAAGATGACATATAAATAGAAACGGAGAGAGTAGAGTTTACTCATTAGTCAATAAATGGTGTGAAAAGGACACAAGAAAGAGAGAGGGAGACTTTTGACTTTATGTACCATGAAATTATAAATATCTAAAGATGCGTAATATATAGAAAATATTACTTCATCCGTCTCATTTTATGTGAGGTAGTTTGACTCGATACAGAGTTTAAGAAATAAAGAAAGACTTTTAAAACTTGTGATCCAAAATAAATGATAGAAATTTGTGTGGCTGTAAATCATTTCATTAAGGGTAAAATAGACATTTTATAGTTGAATTGTTACTTAATATAGAAATGTGTCATTCTTTTTTAGACTGATTAAAAATGAAAGTAAGTCATATAAATTGAGACAGAGAGAGTAGTTACTTTGTTTATTTTTATTTGTCCATTATTTTAAATATATATATATATATATATATATATATATATATATATATATATATATATATTCACTTTACTTGTCATTTTAATATATCAAAAATACTCTCATTATATTGATCACGAGATATTACTTTGTAGGGCATCCGCTGAAAAAAAATATTGGTCTCTACTCTCTTGTTTGCAGGAAAATTTATAGTGAGTGTGTATACGAGGTAAAAATTTGTGGAAATAGGGGTTAAAAGCAAGTGAGTTGGGTTCGATCAAACTCCTTTTTTTTGAGGGGCTAAGTCAAGAAAACAAGAATAAATGGGTTGAATATTTAACTAATTTGAGTACGTGTTCAAAATAAGAATAACATATTTACTTTTCTATAATTATCTATTTTGCTTTAAAGAATAGAGCAAACTCAAAAAAACGCTGAGGAGATGTACATGAAAAGTATGAAACAACTTATCGAGTCATTAACAAAGATGCTTTCATTGGACAATAAAAATAAGAGAATCAGTTGAAAATTTGGATCAATCTATCCATTTGATATTGTTACTGTTTAAAAGTCATCCTTTTTGTAAGGTGCATTCATAAAAAATAAAAAGGTACCATAGAGATTAGAACTAGTCAATAACCACACGATAATTGCTAATTATTACCAAATCAATCGATATTTTATAGATTGGCTAGGAATTAGTAAATTTAAAAATTGATATTCAATAGACTAAATCGTTAAGCAAAATTATCCATCTGATCCGTCCGATAAGCAACCCTACTAAAATGTAAGAATTAGGGCAATAAAAATAAAAATAGGAAGATCTTGAGTGATCCTACTGTACAGCTTGGTTTTTACCCAATACAAGAATAACACCCCATATTCTTTCATTTTCAATAATACTGAAGTTCTCATTGAATTTTATAGCTTAATAAATGGCGATAATGATGTAAGCCAAACTTACATGGTAGGAATTTCAAACGTTCTAAGAAACAACAATTAAAGGTTGGGAAAATGGTTTGAAAAATATTTCAACTTTGGTCGAAATTATTGTTACGAAACCAAATTTTATCGAGGATCTTTTACCCCCTACACTATTTAATAGTATATTTTAAAGGTATAAATGTGTTTATCCCCTATACTATTTAATAGTGTATTTTAAAGGTATATATGTGTCTATGTGGACACATAACTATTTGTAATGATGCAATATTTATGATGTCCACGTGAGCACATATATACCTTTAAAATACACTATTAGATAGTGCAGGGGTAAAAAGTCTTTTTCAAAGTTCAGTATTGTTATAACAATTTCGATCAAAATTCAGATATATTTCAGACATTTTTCCCTTAACGAAAATATGTTTGTTTGATCCATTTAATTTAAGGACAAAATACCACTCTATAGCTAGTTCCACTAGGACAAAAGAAGGCACTAGTTGAACTATCCAAAGCATAACTGTAAGAAGTTGAACATTTATCCTTAAAGAACCTCGAATACTTGGTCGGACCACAACTTCCAGACGTGCAACAATATTCGTTCGTCTTGAAAACAGTACAAGGATTGTTGCATCCTCCAGGAGTCCTTAATTCATTCGGACACTGTCCTATTATGTCCGCGGTGCATGTGATCCTGGCAGAGTACTCATCCGCGGACACAGGACTAAATTCCATTGGGATGTTGAAACCATCAACAAGAGATATGCCCAAGAAATCAGTATTGTTGAATTGGTTAATGGCGTATTCGGCTAAAGTGTTTGGGGGTGTACCATAAGCTTGACATTCAAGTAGTCCATTACAATCCCCCGTTTGACATTGACCCTTGCCTAATGTGTTGAAATTGCAATTGGTTCGTCCCCAAATACGACCGTTTTTAGTGTTTGTCTCGATTTTCCATGTTCCACCGTATTCGAGTCGTTGCCCTCCACCAGGGACGGCTGCTGCCCATACCGTGAAGGGACAATTGTTTTGTATGTCGATTATTGTGTCTGCTTCTGCAGAGTCATAAAAGAGAGGGATCTGATGAAGCTCGTGTTTGAGGACAAATACTAAAATATTAATTACTTATTTCTCAAATCATTTATTTTCTTAACGGATTTGTCAAATCCAAATGTGACAAGTAAAAAAAATTGAATAGAGTAGTTGTAATAACCTGGGCAGAAGACAACCTTGTAATTTGTACCAGCAGGACATGTAAACATACTTGTTGAATCATCTTGTGGATAACTATAAGCATCTGGGCATCTTTGTTTGAAAAATCTCGAAAAATCAGTAGGACTACATGGTCCATTTGTACAACAATATTCATTCGTCTTGAAAGCTGTGCACGGGTTGTTACATCCACCAGGTGCCTGTAATTTGCTTGGGCATTGCCCATTAATATCTGCGGAGCATTGGAGTTTACGACACCCACCGTTGATTGGGCTGAATTCCATAGGGATGTTGAATCCATCAACTAGAGAAATATCGACAAAGTCCAAGTTATTGGGCTGGTTAAGTGCAAATTCAGCTAAAGTATTGGGTGCACTACCAAAACCTTGACATTGTAGCCGCCCATTACAATCTCCAGTCTGGCATTTGCCTCGACCATTACCATCAAAGTTACAATTGGTTCTACCCCAAATGCGACCCGTGGTTGTTCCTGGATTCACATTAATGTTCCAAGTTTGACCCGAGTCGAGTCGTCTGCCTCCCCCAGGAGAGGCAGCTGCCCAGACCGGGTAGGTGCACTGATTGGTAATGTCAAAAGTGGCAGCATGAGTAACAGCTAAAAAGTAAAGGAAGACAAAAAGGGGGAAGAAATTGAGGAAATGCATACTACTTTTCTGTGTGTATGTTCAATTTGAGAATGTGTTTATTTGAAGACACTTTCAAATGTGATGAGTTTCACAGAAATTCTCTTGTGGAAAATTAGTGGTTTTAAGTCTCCGAATTATTGAAAATTTTAATGCTGGTCCTCGCATTATTTATTTCTTTCGTCCAATAATAGTTGTCCACTATATTATTTTGAGATGTCCTTAAACAGAGGGAGTAGTAATTTGTATTTAATCTTCAATTAATTAAAATATGAAATATTAATTATTTTGCTTGTGAATCTTCACAAATTTGATGAATTATTAATTGTTAAACCGTTTACTTAACTATGCATTATCACTTCATAATTAAAGGCAGTATAAGTCAAAAAATAATCTAAATAAAACATACTCCCTCCATTTCATATTAATTGAATTATTGAGATGTTTCACACCTTTAAGAAAAGAAGATTAAGACATAAATTAGGTTTAACTTTCCATTTTTACCCTTATTAATTATTATTAAAATAACTAAACATTAATTAATAACTAATTCCAACACTAACTAATGAAGGGTAAAATTGAAAAAACATTCTAAAAGTAATCTTGAAAATTAAACAATTAAGTTAATTTAAAAAATGAAAAATATCTTAACAATTTAATTAATATAAAATGAAGGGAGTATCGTAATTGTTGTGTGAAAGTGATTTTAAAAAACGTACATTCTAACTAATTTAAGATTAAATATCTCACAGATAAAAACTACTCCTTAATAGGAACAAAAAGTCCAAAAGAAAAAAATCTCTATTATTGTTCGTGTCATATACGCAAATCTATTTGTTGGTTCTTCTCTTCAAAAATCTTGCCTCTTGACTTGTAAGTCAAGCCGTCACTATAATTGAACTTTTATAGGCTTGGTAATTTTAAAAAAATATTATAATGGGTGAGCACAAATATAACTTGATACTTACTTCATTCACTTTTACTCGTTATTTTATTTTTAAAATATATATATTTTTTTATTTGTTACTATTTCAAGACCAATATTAGACATTAATTAATATAGATAGTGTGGTAAAATGCATAGTATATCAATAATTATTTTCTTAATAGATGTGTTAATTCAAATAATGATAAGTAAAATTAAACAAATGGAGTAATACAAGTCTAGTGTTAATATAAACCTTACATATTACTATATAAAGGTTTATATATATAAAAATATATAAAAACTATCAAAATTACAGTTAACTAGTAATAACTATGAGAGCAAAAATACAATTTTATTGTGATTGGAAAGTCCATCTCTATCGTTGGAAATTGTTTTGCGTGGCTAATTTTTATTAGGCCTCCTAATTTCATTGACTCGGAAATTCTTCACTAAGAAAAGAATAAGAAATTTGACTACTAAAATGTAAGAACTAGGGCAAACAAAAAAGGAACATCTTCATATTTTTAGGGTCCATTTAGTCACATGAGATGAAATCATCATTATACGAAATTATATAAGATAAAGTTGATGTTTTGTTTGGACATACAATTTGGATTTCTAAGTTATATTTTTTTACTTATAAACATAAAAATCCCAAAAGTTGTGAAAACTATCGAATTATCCAAATTCTTTATACAATCTAATTACCAAATAAGTAAAAGTTCATAAAAAAAATGATGCACTATCACAAAGTTATTCTAAAAAAAAATACAACATTTATTGATGGAACTTTAGTCTAATAAAAAGATAAAATCGAACCTGAGTTATATTGTCCTACTCTTTACTTAAAATATTTCTCTTTCTCAAATCAATATTTTAGAATTCCAAAGAATAAACAATTAATAAAAATAAGTAATAATTAAGGTATTAATATAGGTATAAACCTAAATTACAAAAGAAAAAATGTAACTATTAAGAGTTTGTTTTATTTCCCCATATAACACACTAATTTATTGCGATATATAAGTTTATGTAGATCATGATTATTAAGCTGGATCCGAAAATAAAACTTATATGACACATTAAATAAATGTGCTATATTTAGATTTTGTCAACTTTAATTATCTATGTTGTTTTGATTACTTTTTATTTTTTAGGTTTCAAACTCTCACCTAAATTCCACTTTATAAGATTCATTTGGCTACAAAGAAAGTGTTAAAAGTAATCTTTAAAGTAACATATTAACTAGGTTACTTTAATTATTATGTACATTAAATTTTCTGTTTAATATTAAGGGCATTCAAGAAACAAAGCACGAGTTAATTAATCATATCCACAAGGAAAGAGAAAAATAATTATTACATGTTCAAATAATAAAAATTAGATGACTAATTTAAACTAAAAGGTAGAATTTCTGGAGAAAGTAAGACTCAACTTTTTCTTTTCTTAATTATGACTTACGGGTAATGATAAATTATACGAATAAATTATTTATGAATTAGTGAATCATTTTGACATGTTAGCCTAACTTACCTTGCCTTCTTAGTCAATAATTGGTCCAAACTTAACATGTTTGACAAATTATGATTTCATCACCTCTAATCACAAGAATTTTAGGTCTAAGTCGTGTGTAGAGTTGTCAAAATGGGTTTAGCCCAATCCAACCCGTTATTGGAGTAGGGTTGGATATAATTTTTCAGGCCCATTTAAAACTAGGGCTTATAAGCATGACTCATATAAGTCCTTGGCCCTTGAGGCTTGATCTGGGCCGGGCTGGGTCAATCCATGGATCAAAATTATGTATTTAAGGGTAACTTACAGAAATCTCACTAGTGTATGAGCTAATTACTTAGATGCATGTTATATTGTAATATTACGAATCTTACCAGATTTTGGTATGTCCAGATACATGTATCCTCAAAATTAGGCATGATTTATTCTAGATATACTCTATCCAAGTGGATTCGCATGTATCTAGGTTACATAGACAAATCCCGCGCCCTCACCTCCCTTCCATCTCGCTCGCCACTCTCTTATCCAGTCGTGTGTCTTTGGACCTGAACCTTCTGCTCAGGTCATCATATCCTTCTTCACCTATCATATTAGAAACAAATACAAACAAATTGTAGGTCTTGAGAATCACAAGAAAACAAAGGTTCATCGTGTTCTTTTCATAGTTAGGATTATCAAACTCAATTTCGATAAATCAGGCAAGGGGAAATGTCAAACTAGGGAATGCAATGGCTTCTCCAATGCCAAAGGTTTTGGGGAACCCTAAACCAATTTGATAATTCCAATTTATTAGATACATCTCTCGTTGATGGATTCTTAAGCCTACCTCCAGTAAATGCGCTGTTTGCAAATGATCTTATGTGACATATATTTGAATTAATTGGACCAGTAAGACCAAATACCATATAGTTAAAAAATAAATAGCATTGTTATATATACGAATTCAAATCCAATGTCATTTTAAGTATCATAATGACATAATACATAAACATGACCCTTAACTTGACGTCAGCTGGCAACTATGACTTTTAACTTTGGATGTGCACAAGTAGGCACTTAAACTTGTATAAAATTGAACAAATTGACACATTCGTCCTACATGGCACCCTACATGACAATTTTGTGTCCTACATGTATTATGTCATGTAGGACACGTGTCTACTTGTTTAATGTTATACAAGTTTAAGTGTCTACTTGTGCACACTCAAAATTAGAGGGCATTAGTTGTCCGCTCAAGTCAAGTTAAGGGTCATGTTTATGTATTGTGTCTATCATAATATGTTCACTTGAATATAATCTCACATCCTTCGCTTACATTTGTTAAACACACACACATATATATTAAATCAACTAGGTTATCCCAGCTTTGATTTTATCCCAATCGAACATGAAATAAATATATTTTAAAATTACTCTCAAAATTAATTATTTTTTATCACTCGCACGAAACGAGCCTTTAACATCTTCCACTTGCAATACCATTACCTCAATTTTACTAAACAGAATCATGGAAACAGTAATTACTATTCTGTATTTCTGTTTGTTTATATTTTTTATGTCACTGTTTTACCTAAGGAATAAATTTTACAAACAAACATACTCTTATATATGTTTTTTTTTATATAAAAAAATAAATATATATATATATATATATATATATATATATATATATATAAAATTATAAAATTAGAATGGATTAGAAAATTTCAATTAGTGATGGCTTGACTTACGGGTCAAGTAGATACACGTATTTGGTATGAATAAAATTTCTAAATTTTGCGTTCTTTTGTTGAGTTAAT